AAAAACAGCCGTGGATTGAGCGACCAAATTATTATTTTTTGAAGGGATTATTACCCCGGAAAAGCGATCCACCAATTGACTAACAACCGGGTTCCTACTTACCGCTGGGTAATCAGAGGCGTGTGTGTGTGTGTGTGTGTGTGGAGTAAGGAAACTTGCCCAATATTTCGCCCTGACCTGACCCACCCGGGTATCGAACCCAGGTCCTCTCGCTTACGAGGTGAGAGGCCTCTAACCACTGAGCTACAGGACTCCATGTCTCCAATTAGCTGACGCTCTCCTTTTAGTTGACAACCTCTACCCCCTCCTACTTCTCCTCCCTTTCAACGATTGGAGCATCTCTAATGTGCTAATGGTTTCACTGCCACCTCTCCACCTCTTGAGCATCTGTCATTCAGCGGGATCTTGGCTTCGAGCATTTTGTCTGGAGCTAAGCAGCAATCTAAGATGAATTAATCTCAAGCATACGTTGGCACAAGCTGCGTGTCTGTAGTTCTTCGTTGGCTTTCCAAGACATAGCCTGCCAGGCAAGATCAAGTTCTCTCTCACTCTCTCTCTCTTTCTGTCTGTCTCTCTTGCTCTTCTCCCTCTTCTTCTCATGCCAACTCAACCTCCGCAAGGGCTGTTTTGCATCAGGAACACATTCCCCAACTTTTCAAACGACTTACCTCTGCCTGCGGACACCTCCCAAAGCCGCGGGGTTCCCGAGCGACTGCGCACTTGTAGGCGTTTTTGACGTGACGGGGTGCGAGAAAGGGGGGAAAAAAGGGTCGGGAGTTTGAGATAAAGAAGTGGCTAAGAACACGCAGCAGCAGGTCAGGCAGCATCTACGGAGAGAGAGAGAGGAGGACAGTGAGTTTCAGAAGGTCGATGAAGATGTCACATTTGGGTCACAGCCCTCGTAAAGAAAAGGACTCTCTATTTCCATTCTGCTGGAGGCTTTAGGTCAATTTTTTTGGAAGGAATTATCAATGAGGAATCTGGAGGTACGTTACTTTGACTTGCTGGATCTCAGCGACCACAAGGTCTACAGGGGATCTGCCTGATGTCTGTCCAGTTACCGAAAACAATTCCCCCATCCAGCTTCCTCCTTAAGTAATCCTGTTAGAAATCATCACAAATTAGACCCTGTTCAGTATCATTAGACTGTCCAATAGTGACCCCAATCCTCTTTGCATCCAATACCCCTACATTGCAGACTACCTGCACTGTCCCTTTGTAAAACCAGAGTCTGATATCAAAGACTATTTGACCAATGTTTGAAAAAGTGGAACATTAAGAGTTTCTGGGTGGGCAGGGTGAAACCTTGGGCAAGTTTCCTTACCATAAGACCATTCGGCCCCTCGAGCCTGCCCCACCATTTAATAAGATCATGGCTGATCTTCTAACCTAATTCCATTTACCCGCCCTATCCCCATATCCCTTAATCCCTTACTCCACACACACGCCTCTGTCTACCCAGCAGTTAGTTGGCACCCAGTTGTTAGTTGATTGGCGGATCGCTTTCTGGGAGTAATAATCCCTCAAAAAAAAATTGATCACTCAATCCACGACTGTGTGTGGGGACACTGCTGTGTGCAATTGGCTGCTCCAATTCATAAACAAGATGCACAGTCAATTCACTTTCAGTCTATTCTGTGAAGCGCTTTGAGACGTCCTTGCATTTGATACAGCGCCTTATCACGTCTTCCAGACGTCTCAAAGCGCTTCACAGAACAGACTGTAAAGTGAATTGACTGTATATTTGTGGGCGAAACGCGGCAGCCGATTGCGCACAGCAGCGTCCCCACAAACAGTCGTGGATTGAAATGAACAATTTTATTATTGTTCTTTTTTATGAGGGATTAATACCAGGTGTGTGTGTGCGTGTGTCTGTGTGGCGTAAGGAAACTTGCCCAAGGTTTCACCCTGCCGGGAATCGAACCCAGGTCTCGCGCTTGCAAAGCGAGCGCTCTAACTGCTGAGCTCCAGTATGATTATTAATATTATTATCGTGGAGTGCGCACTCTCTCCCCGGAGGGACGCACTGCACCCTCAACCCTTCTGGCAAATTCTGAAGTTTGCTGATCACATATTTTTTTAAAAAAAAAGAGTTCCGATTGCCAAGTTTATTTCAGGCATTGGTTTGGTGCCTAAGAAGTACAATGCTGACCTCTCACCCATGCAGGATACGAGTCTGTATATCATACATTGAGGGCGAGCGGTTTGTACAATGGCCATATATAACAGGAAGCGAAACGGTTCTTGTAAATTGACGGTAATTTGCTAACAAACTGGCTGTTCGACGTACCGAGCAGCAACTCGTGGCATTAACGCTTCTGCTTTTTTATATGATATAATAATAATAATTATAAGAATAATCCTGGCAATCGATACAGCGCCTCATCGCGTCTTCGAGACGTCTCAAAGCCCTTCACAGGATGCACTGTAAAGCGAATTGACTGTATATTTTGCGGGCGAAACGCGGCAGCCGATTGCGCACAGCAGCGTTCCCCCCCACCACAAACAGCCGTGGATTGAGTGGCCAAATTATTATTATTAAGGGATTGCTACCCCTTCGACTAACAACCGGGTCCCTACTTACTGCTCGGTAAACAGAGGCATTGCACCCTTTTGCTTGTTCTTGACAAACTGGACATTATGTCTTGATGGGAACTGAACCTACAGTGATTTGGTGGGGGTGGGGGGTGTGGTGGTGGGGGGGGGGGTAACAATACACCTCTTGAATGGTAGTAAATGTCTCCCTCGCGTGGCGGACGGTCTGAACAACAACTGCATCACGTTTGCAACAGCTTCAGTCGACTTCAGTCGGCACATTAAGGGGAGACTTCCCACTGCTGGCCGCAGAATGAATTACTTTACAGGCTTGGAGAGGTGGGATAACGTCTCGGAGTGCTTCGCGTCGGACGGGGTTTAGATGCCAAGCGAGGAAGTTGCGGTGGGGTGGCGTGGGATGGCGATGGGGGTGGGTGCGTGGGGGGGGCGAGTGGTGGGCAGGATAATTGGCCAGAGGGGAGACGAGAAGACTTTGGATGGGAGGTTAAGAGTGGTCCTCCTGTGCGGTAAGATTCTATGAAGTGTGACCCTGAAGCAGGCGAATGTCATCCAGAGATGAACATAATGTGAACATTATTACTCATACTTGAATGGGTTGCGTGCTGGGGTAGGGGAAATTGCTGCTTCAAATGAGGACATGGGACAACAACAAAACCTCCCCACAACAAGTGAAACTTTAAAGAGAATACTGCAGAGGAAGTCATTAAGTACAATGTGCTATTTGTTTCGCCAGCTGGATGTCTTGACACATGCGGTAACCCACTGCCTTGCTTAAAAGTCTCCAAACTATACTGAGAACTCCGCACATGCCTGAAAGATATCACTTTGTCCCCTGAGTGTGCACCCTGCCAACCGAATCCCGGAATCTATAAGGCAAGGGTTGGCAAGAGCCAAGGCTCGGGGAGCCTGAGTGTGTTTTGCTGAAGCTTAATCAGCCTAAAGCGCATAGCTTACCATTGCAAACACTGTCTGACAAGCTTCCCGCTACTTACTAAGCAGAGCCGTGTGGCGTAAGGCTAAACAGAGGCGTGTGGAGTAAGGAAACTTGCCTAAGGTTACAGCTCGCTTGCGAGGCGAGTGCTCTAAACACTACACTACGGGTCGCTAATGATTCTCCTCTCCCCCAGGAAGTATACAGTTGCGGGCAGTGGGTCAGGTTAAGACTGGAGCTTGACATGTACAGTTGCGTGCATTATCATAGCTGGATAGACTGCTGACACGGTTAAGATTCACCCTGAACTAATCATTCCCCTAATTGGGGAAGGAGGGAGGTAAAACAGAGAGAGAAAAAAATAATGACAAAGTATGTAACTAGAATTCAGGATGTTTCCGAAGCGTTTCGTTGTAATAAAGGCAATTTGCATTATTATTATAATTCACATGATTCGTTGGAACAAACACAGACCGTGCGCTCAATGTCACAACTTTTCCCCTATTGCATTTAGTTCCCGAGAAGTGTTCCCTTTTATTGAAATACACAGACAATTAAAGCGACAGAGTGAGACACACACACACACACCTAATTTCTGCAACGTTTTCACGTCCACAACGGCGCGGAAGGCAATTTGTTCTATCTCGGTCTCATTGCTGGAAAGTTTTTTTTTAGTAATAATTTTGGGGAGATGACACTAACAAGGCAAGCACTTGTTGCCCATTGCTAAGTGCAGTCGCTGTCTTCAAAAACAATTATTCTTGACCCACGTACAGTGAGTTTGAACAATGTGCAATTAGTATGACTTACGTAGTCAGCATAACAAGCGCAGTTTGCATGAATAATGTACAGATAGCATGAATTATGTAGTTAGTAATAACTCGTGTACAGTGAGAGTGACTTATGTGCACTTAGCATGACCTACAGACCATGGCATGAAATATTTAGTTAGTATGACATGTAGTTTCGCGGGACTTACGGACATTCAGTGTCAGCTACGTCCACGTAGCATGTCTTACGAGCAGTTGGCATGACTTAAGGTACGCTTAGCAAGGCTGGCGTGCAGTTGGCATGACTTAAGGTACGCTTAGCAAGCCTGGCGTGCAGTTGGCATGACAAGGGACAGTTCGCAAGCCTGGCGTGCATGACCTTAGGTGCAGTTGGCGTGACTTAACGTGCACCTGGCATGCTTTACACGCATGACCTTGCGTGCAGTTGGCGTGACTTAAGGTGCACCTGGCATGCCTTACACGCATGACCTTGCGTGCAGTTGGCGTGACTTAAGGTGCACCTGGCATGCCTTACACGCATGACCTTGCGTGCAGTTGGCGTGACTTAAGGTGCACCTGGCATGCCTTACACGCATGACCTTAACGTGCAGGTGGGCATGACACGACGCGCGGTGGGTGAGTGGGCGAGTGGGGCGGGGCTTGCGTGTGAGTGACGTGGGGGCGGTGGCTCTCACGACAGTGGGCGGGGCCCCGGCCCGGCCCCGCCCAGGAGTGGCGGGCTGCCTGCCTGCCTGCCGTAAAGTGAGCGGTGAGGCGGTTGCCGTGGCGGCGGCTTGAACGAGCGGCTCCGAATAAACCGTCAATAATAACCGTCAAGTCAGAGAGGGAGAGCGCGAGGAGGAGGGAAGTTCGCGCCGCCGCCTCAGTTTACCTCAGTCACCGGACAGCTCGAGGGGGCGCCTTTTATTTTTTTTAACCCCCCCCCCCCCCCTCCCCCTTTTATCTTTACTTAAATCGTCTTTATTATTACTGTTGTTGTTATTATTATTACTGTTGTTGTTGTTGTTTTCTCTCTCGTGTGTGTGTTTCGTTTATCCAAAACTTTTTGTTGTGTGGGGGGGGGGTTGTTTTTTTTTTAAAAAAAATTCATTTTATTTTATCTTTCAATTTTTCTTCCATTCCCCTTTCCTCTCTTTTTTGAAAAAAAAGTAATCTCTCTCTCTCTCTGTGTCTGTCTCTGTGTCTATCTGTCTGTGTGTCTGTCTGTCTGTCTCTGGAACAAACTTAAAATTCATATTTTTTAGGGGGTTTATGTATAAATAAATATATAAATAAATATAAAAGATAATTCCCTCCTCCTCCTCCTCCCCTCTTTTCTCTCTCTTTCCTTCCTTCCCCTCCTCCCTTCTTCCCGGTGTTGATCGTTCTGGTGTGGAGAGAGATTCTCGTCCTTAAAATAACAATAACAATAATAATAGTAATAAATAATACTAATAATTAGTTGTTCCCCTTCTCTTCTCCCCCCTCCCATCCCTCTCTCTCTCTCCCTCCCTCCCTCCCTCCAATCCCTGAGATTATTTTGTTCTAAATTTATGTCGAAATTTTTTTAAATTGTATTTTTGCTTTTGTTTTATATATATATATCTATATCTATATATATAAAAAAATATTCTGAATAAAAACAATAGGAGTAAAATGGCCCCCTTAAAGTTTCGGAAGATCGCAGTGTTGGGCTACAGGTCGGTCGGTGAGTGTGTTTTTGTTTTACATTTGGTTTCATTTTATTGTTTTTTTTTCGTTTCGGGTTTCCCCCCCTCTCTCTCCCTCCCCTTTTCCCCTCTGCCTTCCCCTCCCATTTCTCTGCCCCCTCTGCCTTCCCCTCCTGTTTTCCTCCATCCCTCCCCAGTCTCCCCCTTTCAGGCTTCCCCCACTCTCTCCCCCCACCTTTCAGGCTTCCCCACTCTCTCCCCCCACCTTTCAGGCTTCCCCCACTCTCTCCCCCCACCTTTCAGGCTTCCCCCACTCTCTCCCCCCACCTTTCAGGCTTCCCCCCTCTCTCCCCCCACCTTTCAGGCTTCCCCCCTCTCTCCCCCACCTTTCAGGCTTCCCCCCTCTCTCCCCCACCTTTCAGGCTTCCCCCACACTCTCCCCCCACCTTTCAGGCTTCCCCCACTCTCTCCCCCACCTTTCAGGCTTCCCCCACTCTCTCCCCCCACCTTTCAGGCTTCCCCCACTCTCTCCCCCCACCTTTCAGGCTTCCCCCACTCTCTCCCCCCACCTTTCAGGCTTCCCCCCTCTCTCCCCCCACCTTTCAGGCTTCCCCCACTCTCTCCCCCCACCTTTCAGGCTTCCCCCCTCTCTCCCCCCCCTTTCAGGCTTCCCCCTCTCTCCACCAGTTTCCCCCTCCTTTTCTCTCCCCTCCATTTGTTCCATCCTCCACCTCCCCAGCCTTTTCCTTAAACTTCACTCACTCACTCACTTCCTTGCACTGAAAATGTATTTGTGTGTGTGTGTGGGGGGGGGGGGGGGGGCAGCAGTTTGAGTATAAAATCAGTTTATAAATATGATATGAAGAGGGGGGGGAGAGAGAGAGAGAGAGAGAGAAAGACCCAAGGCGTTCGTTCCCTGTGTAGATGAGTTCAGGAGCAGTTGGGTTTCTGCCTGTGAGGGTCACGCCGGTTTCATTTGTTTACAAACTTTGCGAGTTTCACTTTCTCCTCCCACTCCACACACACACACACAGTCACTCACACACACACACCACACCGCACTCCTTCCTTCCGCCTTCCTATAAAGTTGCACCCACATCTTATGCAAGCGCCACACTCTGGGGGTTACATTAAACGTGGACCATAGAGGATCTCACATCTCTTGAAAGCGGTTCAGGATTTTAAAAACATTTAGCATTCCCCCCCCCCCCCACACACACACACAGAAATCATTTTATTTCCCGGGGGGGGATTGCAGTCTCGAATATTGAATTTAAAAATACCCTGATTGACATTCCAACCAACTTGTTGGTTGCAATAGATTGTCGTAGGTTATATTTTAGAATATTATAAAACAGGCCTTTCGTAACCCAACTGCCTACACCGGTGTTTACTCGACGAGTCTCCACCCACTTTTCCCATTTCCCTCGTGTGTGTGTGTGTGTATGTGCATATATATGTATACAGAGAGAGTGAGGGAGAGCTTCCTCTAAAATGCAGTGTATGATTCAGTCAAAAAGGCAATGCTTTTCAATTGATGTTTCGATTGATTTTGCGATTGCAGAAAATGTTCCCTGGGAGCAGGAAAGAAAATTTGTGACATTTAACAAACTAGACAGTTTATTTAAACGCAAACCCAAACAAATCCATATTTGTGCGTTTGGTGGAATTTCAAGTATGTGATTATGAAAATAAATTCTAGCTTTGGATGGGAATCATTTACATTCTTTTGTTTGCCACTTCAATTCAGAAACATATTTAATTTAAAGCAGATTGAGAGGCAACATTTATGCATTTTACTTTTATGTGGGGAGGTGCAAAGCACCATCTAAATTTAGGTATGTCTGCATTGAAGATTGAATTTTAGAAATTTCTGTACCTAGAATAGCATCAAGACTCAAGTACCAGTTTTGAATTCAAATGGCATTGAATCAAATTATAACTTTATCAATGCTTCCTGATGTGTAAGGTCAGAGAAGTAAACTACAGGGGTTATGGGCAAAGGCAGGTAAATTGAACTGAAAAGGTTATTCTTTAAGAGAGCACAGATGTGATGGGCTGACTGGCTGCCTTCTGTGCTGTAAATTTCTATGTAGGATTCAGTGATGCATGCCAAGAACTTTCCTTGTTTCTGCTGAATTAAGTGAGGTAGCGAAGGGTGCCATCTGAGCTTAGAAGGGAATAAGAACAGCCAGGATTCTGATTCAGGTTGCAATCACTGACTTCTGAGAAAGTGTTCTTTGTTGGTACTCAATTTACTGAGGGCAAAATGGTCTCTGCCGTGACTGGCCCCAGGCCCGAGTTTATACAGTTGGCAGGTAGGTGAAGCACCAGAGGGTTGCCAGTGCCCATTGAGCAGTACAAGTGCTCTGGGATGAGGGGTGCTATATAAATGCAAGTTGTTCTTGTTGTACCCTAAAGTAAGTCGATGAGTTTTGAGGAAAAATGCTTTACTAATATGAATTTGGGGAACCTTGGACAATCTCCCTTTGAATATGAATGTCATAGCTCCACAATGTTATTTCTCTGTATTTGAATTTGAATATTTAATATTTTAACAGTTGCAAATTTACCTTTTAAAATCAACCTGAGAACAACAGGATTATTCTTTACTGAAGTCTTTGTAGAAAGTGAAAGTAGTTTGCAACTAGTGACTGGAATTGACTTATAATATCCTGTTGTGGTCCCAGAAATCTGGTTTTAATTGCTGGAAAATATTCAGGGTGAAAAGCGGTAACAGTTGTGCTTCATGTAAATTGGTTTATCGGCTGCTTTTGTACTGAACAATACTTTATTGATTTATTGCAATAACAAATCTACATTGATCCGCTTGAAACTATAGGGGGAAAAAAACCCTTGTGAAATTTCAACACATCATTGTTAGTAGTGACTGTGTTTCAATCGCCATTGAACAACAATTCTAAAGAATAGAGGGATATGGGATAGGGTGGATAAATGGAATTAGGTTAGAAGATCAGCCATGATCTTATTAAATGGCGGAGCAGGCTCGAGGGGCCGAATGGCCTACTCCTGCTCCTATGTCTTATGGTCTAACAAGTTAATGGAGATGATCAAGCTCTCAGAACTGTTAATTGTTCAATTTGGGCTTTTAAAGAAATTTAATTTTTGAAGGATCAAAGTACTTACTGCAGCTACACCTGTGACTGCATGGAGCTGGTACAATATGACAACCTATATTAAATGTTGACTGACTTTTGGTTAAGGTAATCACAGGGAATAAAATCCGTGCTTCAAACTTTTTTTGTATGATGGCAGTACCACATTCCAGTTAATTGTGTAAAAGACACATCACAACATTTTTATTTCACATATTTCCATGTGACTATTTCAATCCACTTTCTATAATTTCACTTTGATGTGTAACATTTAATAACTTGTACTAATTTTTAAAACATCTGGTATGCCTCATTCTCTAATCAATTGTCATTTCAATATATTTTCTGGCCAAGTTATCCAAGTCCATATTGCACATATTTTATTTGAAACTTAGAGACTACTTCTAAATATTCTCAAAGTGATAGTAAACCGATAGTATTTTGAAATGTCTTTAACGCCACACTAAAAATTGTATGCCGATTTGGTGAATTTCATTTAAATTGTGTGGCTTGGCCTCACTCTCCAGTGCCTTTCCTAACAGAAGAAACAGAAATTTTCAGGAAATATTTTGCCCATCATGTCATAAATATAATTTACAGTAAACTCCTGATAACTGGACCCTTGCTTAGCTTGTCACTACCACTTGAGTCATCATCCTATCAATGTCACGGCTGCATTTATTTATGTATTTATGCATATGCATAACTTGACACTCCAGATTTTTGGTAGGTCATGGTATTAAGAGATATGGGGAGAAAGCAGGAATTTGGAATTGAAAAGATTAGTTGAGGTACAAATCAGACATAATCTAATTAAATAGAGGAACAGGCTTGAAGGGCTGAATGGCCTACTCCTGTTCCTATGTTCCTAGATAACTTGTCACTGAGTCTTTCTCCTTTGGAGTGACAGTCATCAGGAGGTTGATTGAATGATTCTATTGATTAAGAGTTAAAGTGTGCTTTGCAAAAGACTGAGTTCTGTCCTGTACTCATTGATCCCAGTGAAACTTTTCTCAAGATGTTCGAACCCATGTAACTATACTTTAATCAACGTGAGGAGGGGAAGTGGAGAAGCATACCTGTTTGTGTGCAGGTATGATGGGGACGTTACGATATGTGGAGCAAGCCGGAGCCCGTTGAGCAGAGGGAGCGGACACAACTATATGGGGCTTAAAGACTTCTGGAAATTTTGATTTGAAATTGTTGTTTGCTCAAATACTAGGGTCAGCGGGAATGTTTGGATAAAGGAAGCACTCCGGATGGTTCCCATTAAGAAGCTGGATGTTTGTAGATTTCAAAGGATGTACTTGTGGCAAGAGTGAAATCCTTTTGGCATCTAATGACTGCTTCAAATGAAGCAAAGTTCTCTCTTGTTTGCCCCTGAATAAAATTTCCTACTGCTTCATTGTAATTACTAGAAAAAATCACATTGCTAGCAGTTAGAATTTGATATCCTTGATCTGGATTCAATTGTTCAATCTAGAAGTAAAAGGACAGTGCTTAAAAAGACTGCTATCCTGTTACCATCCTTATTTGTATCGTGTTTTCTTTTTCAGCAGATACTTTTCCCTATGAGTTGGGCATTGAAATATACTGTGTACAAACAATGCTGTCATGAATTGAACTGTCAGAACGGATGAGCTTTTCCAGTACATGCCTGCGCTGTTCCCTGTAGATTTATTTAACTGAAAGAATGAACAAGACTTGAAACTTTGCTGAAGGTAATTTGCATTTTAAAAACATCTTTTTTTTTAGGCAAGTCCTCTCTGACCATCCAGTTTGTTGAAGGACAGTTCATTGATTGCTATGACCCTACAATTGAGAACAGTGAGTATACAGTATTTCGTTTTTGATTCAGTGGAAGTTATTACTGTGAAATGGGCAATAAATAATAGCTGTGGCAACAGGGGATTAAGAGTTTTCCAAGAATTCAGCTATCATTAAAATAATTGTTGGTTGCAGTCGTCTTGCATTGATTGGTATAAGTGGCTGCGTTGATGCCAGGAAAACAAGACCATCACTAAGTGGGCTAACTACCATTGGCCTTAAAACTTTCGCTGATTTGGCAGTTGGTGAGGCGGAATTGAATCATTACAGATTATAAATGAGTGTTAATATATTTGCTTGAAATATTGGGTGTTATAAATAAGAGATGCAAAGGTGAGCAGATGTTTGTTGAAGTGACCTGTTCATCGTATGGATAACAAAGCACCAAACCTTTACATAAATAACACTGCTGTGTGTGCAATTGGCTGCCACGTTTTGCCCACAAAATACAGTCACTACACTTTACAGTATATTCTGTGAAGTGCTTTTTGAGACGTTTCAAAGACGTGATAAGTTGCTATATCAAATGCAAGGATTATTATTAACGCCTACACTGTTCACTTTAGATTTATCCGAGTGTTTATTACCTTAAATGTTTGACAATTAATGTAATAAACCCTTGTGGATTTGATAGCAGATTTACAGCTGCATGTCTGTAGCAGTTACTGTGTGAAGCTCTGGACTTGCAAATTGTCTTTTTGTATCAGTTAATATTTGCTCATGATTCCAGAAGTTGAATGGGGGATTTAGAGAGGAAATAATGTCCCTGCTTATCTTGTCAATTGATTTTGTGCTATACGGGTACAAATAGTTGTATTGATAGACTGCGTCTGGTTAGAGCTGTTATGCCTTGTTTGTGGGCTATGCGATTCAAAAGATTGCTTTTCTTGACTTGCGTTGCAGCTTTTAACAAAGCCGTAAACTTTGGTGGTCAAGACTTCCATCTACAGCTGGTGGATACCGCTGGCCAGGTAAGACCCAGGGGTGTAGTTATATAAAATGTGATTACCTTGGAAATCCTGATGGTATGTTTCAATGTCGGGTTGAGAAAAAACACATGAAATAGCCCTGGAGTGCCAGGGCACAATGTAGCAACCCATAGCACCGAAGCTGTGCCCTATCTTGTTCCTACCTGATGATCTGACACGTATGTCCTGCAGTGGGTTGCTGAATATATTGAGAGAAGGGACACAATACCATGTTCAATATTCAAGGTGGATTGATGCAAACTTGTTTGCGGTGTCAGTTAGACTAATAAATCTAATCCTTCAAGATCCTCTCACTTGTTTTCAAATCCCTTCATGCCCTCAGCCCTCCCTACCTATCCGATCTGCTTACACACCCACTTCACCACTCGTTGCCTCTGCCTGGCTGGCTCCGGCCTCCTGTTTGACCCTCGTCCCCTCTGATCCACCATTGGTGGCCGTGCCTTCAGCCACAATGCCCCGAAACTCTGTAAATCTCTCCCTCAATCCCTCCGACTTGCCCCCTCCCTCCCCACCTTCAAATCCCGCTTAAAGACCTTCTTTTTCGATGCTTAAAAAACTTCCTTTTTGATCATGTTTATCGTCACCTTCCCTCTTCCCCTGACTCAGGATCAGATTCCGCCACTGGCGAGCACTCCAGGACACTACCCCCACGTGAAGGGCACTATACAACAATGCAAGTTGTTGTTGAATCAGTAACATTTTACTGCATTTGACAAGTTGAATTAATTGTTGCTATCATTGTTTCATCTGTTTTTGCTCTTAGGATGAGTATTCAATGTTCAGCCGTTCCCACACCATGGATGTTCACGGCTATGTTTTGGTGTATTCAGTGACCTCCATGAAGAGGTGAGTGATGCTAAAATAGTTTAGATCTGGACTACAGCAGTTGTATTTGTGTTAGCTTACTATGTATCTAGGAACTTCTGTGAGTAACATAGTTCTATATTTGAGGTAGACTAATGCAAACTTTTATAGTACGTTAGTTAGATTAATAAATAATCCTTGTTTAGACTAATGAAGGATTCCAAAGATGAATTTTGGCACTATTTCAACGTGTCCTGTCCTGGAAGCTCTTTGAGATGCCCTCCCAACATGAAAGGCACTATATCAAATGCAAGGATTATTATTATAGAATGAATTGGATGCAGTGTACATCTCCCTGTACCTTGAAGTGAAAAGATGTTGGGTTATAATATTATTTTATTCAGCCTAAATGCATTGGATTTTTTTTGAACTGAGTGATTCAGTGGATAAGGGCACCATTTGATTTCTAAGTTAGCTGATCTCATTCAGTGTTTTTTGGGGTTGGTTCTGTTTAGGATAGGGGAAAAATGACATGTGGTTACTGCTGCTGATCTCTATACAGTGACTGACTACTTACTGCTACAAAGGTAATACTTAGAAATTTCTCTCACTGATGCTGTCTTCTGGTGGTATTTTTGTTATAGTTTTGAAGTAATCAAGGCCATTCGTGGTAAACTACTTGACATGGTAGGGAAAGTTCAGTAAGTATCAGTGATTTTTCTCTTGCTATTTTCTTAGCTGATCTGAGAATATGCTGGCATCTCAAAGGAAACCGTGTCTCCATCACTCCTGTAGTGTAAACCCAGCATTAACCAATGCTTCATCTTGGAGGATAGTTTACTGGATGTTGTGCAATTCCTTGTTGCTGTGGCATCACTCCTGTGTGGACATTCTGCGTTCCACATGTATGGAAGGTTTTCAATTGGCCCACTATTTAACAGGAGTTGCGGAAACTGGAAGAAAAATCTGAGAATAATGTTGTGTGATATTTGTTATTCATGTAACGGCGGAGGTGGAAAACAAATGCCAAACTTTGCATGAATAAGCAGTGTGTAGGATGACTGTCATAGATTGTCAAATGAAAAGGCTGGGCTTCAAAATGAATGACACCCAAGTGATAGCGCTTTGTCTTCTATGGCAAGCGCCATAATCTTGAAACCAACATAAGGAGCTTCTGTCCTTAGCCATTCTAATGGCAGTGTTTGTTAGCTCTTGGCTGTGAAAAAGGATTATAAATGAGCTCATCGTAAGGAACTTGGACACTTTTGAATGGTCGGAATTCAATTGGCTTGGAAGATTATTTTCATTGTCACTTACTCCAGTGAAATTATCCAAACAAAATGTAAGGGATCATCATACAAATCACTTAATCATAAGACACTCTCTTGTGATGCAAAGATCTTGTGCCAAGTTTGTGTTCCTCATCCATTTCAGGTAGTGGGTCTGCACTAACTTGAGCTGCTGATGTTATGAGTTTGTTCAGTTTATAATCAAGAATGGAAGTAAAAGTTAAGAATTGCAACTTTAGTGTCCAGTCATCATATTTTCCTGTTCTGTGCATAAGGATAGGTATAAAGGATACAAAATGTATTATTGTCTGAAACAGATAGGCTAATGGAAATAATTCAGCGTGCTGTCAGAGGCAGTGGGAGTCAGGGTTTAGCTTATCCAAAGAGAAGAGAGAGGGGGAAAAATCCATCTCTGCGTGTGGTGGCCGGTGACTCCAGAGACAGCAGCACAGCTCATTCACGTTGCAGCACCAGTCTAAATGCGGCATCAACGTGGGGTTTATTTGAGTTTCCTGGACTCTTTTAGCACGTCAAAGTGCTGACTTGATTATCCTTGATGTGCGCAGAATAGGGCTCGAATTCTGGTGAAGCCAACACAACAGCAAAAGATACACCTCATTAAACAAAGTGTATTCTATGTTGCCTTTTGAATTGTTTTCTTCTGTATTGGCTCATTGGTACTGCAACAAATCACTATTCTCTGGTGGACTGGGAAGTAACATTTGCACTCCTAGATGTAAATATTACTGTCCAAGCTAAGAATCGAGTAGGTGGATGATGCTTTGTTGTAACCAATAACCAAAGGATGACACTTTGCAGGATTACAATGCAAAATTTGGTATAACCCCCCTTTTCTTCCCCTGTTCTCTAGAATACCAACTGTGCTGGTTGCAAATAAGAGGGATCTTACTACAGAGCGGTATGTAGTGGTGTTTTGTTAACGATTATATCATCAAGGGCAATTTCTTGTGTCTTGTGCGGGTTTCATCACAAAATGTGCAAGGAGTGATGGGGTGGGGGAGTCGTTACTCAGCACAGCATTTGGTTTGTGCAGAATTTTTTTTTCTGATCAGGTTTGTTCACTGCCTTTCCTCCTCTCTGAGGGTGTCTTCAGTCTTTTTCATTTTACTGGGATACTGTTGCTCACCTAAATGTTGATTCTCCACATGTGAGCCTTGTCAAGTGGCATGGCAGATTTGCCCATCCCCTCCTCACCTGATATCCAGTTGTGCAATCCTAGCAGAGATTGCTGGATATCAGCTGAGAGTGGCAACCCTTTCATCCTCTTAACCTATTTTAACCTGTGAGCTGAGGCCAAATGACTGATATCAGTTAACCCAGCACAGTCTGGGGAGCAGACTTGGGGCAGAAGCGATCTGGGACGCTAGATACCCTGCGTGCAAGTTGTTGTTAGGTTGTGAGCTGAACGACTCGCTGAATCATTGGAAGAACCTGGAAAAGAATATTCATCCTCAATTTTTATTTTTTTAAAAAAAATCTTGCAGAAAATCATGTTTTCTCAGATTAGAATTTTTTTTGTTAATACATTTCTCTCTGATTTCATCTCTCGGCTACCACAGGGTGGTAAAGACAGAAGAAGGAAAGAAACTTGCGGACTCGTGGGGAGCAGCATTCTTGGAATCCTCAGCAAAGCAGAATGATGTAAGTTACTGGACATTACAGTCAATTCACTTACAGTATTGTACGGCCTCACTCTCTGCAGAAGGCTGTATAATGCTAGATATGCAATGACATTTATACTATAAGTTTGAATCTGTAGAGTTGTTGGTTAGGACTCTTGGCAGCACAGAATTAATCCTGTATATGGACATTGGCTTTATTTAAAGGCTTTAACCCTATGACTCAATGCAGGACTACTTGGCATGATACAAGGACAGTTGCATGCAGTCTTGACACTGAAATGTTGGACTAAACTTGGTAGATATTCTGTAACTCATTTCTCCCACCCTCCAAAAATTTTTTTTACATAAAAATACAGTAAAAGCAAAAGTATTTGTTTTTTTTAATGTAATGGGACCCCAACTTGTTTCTAAGTGTCAGCTTGGCTCAGTTGTTAGCTCTCTCTCTCATCTCTGGGTCAGAAGATTGTGAGTTCAAGCCCCACGTTAGGGCTTCAGCTCACAGCCTAAGCTGACACTCCAGTGCAGCACTGGGGGAACACTACATTGTCAGAGGTGCCATGTTTCAGGCGAGACCCTAAAACGAGGTCCCATCTGCCCTTTCAGGTGGACATGAATAATTCCACGGCGCTGCTTTAAAAGAGAAGAGAGGTACTTCCAATATCCTGACCAACACTCCTCCAGATAAAGTTGGTCCTTTATTTTGTGGTGTTTGTGGGATCTTGCTGTGCACAAAATAGCTGCTGGATTTGCCAACATAGACACTAAACTTGACAGCAATTACTTTCGAAGCATTTTGAGATGTTTCAACCTTATTAGCACTACATTACACCAAAATTATTTTTATTATATGCTTTCAATCCCGGAAGCATAATTTATATGGCTCTGTTTGTAGGTTCAAGATGAGTATATGCTTTATTATATAATTCTGCATTTAAATCCTGAAAGAAATTGAATAAGTGATATACACACACACAAAGGTGAGTTTAACAGCTAAGAGACATAAAACATAGAAATCCCCAGTGCAGAAGGAGGCCATTCGGCCCTTCGAGCCTTCACCGACTCGCAGAGCAAGGACATCGCTTCATTCTGGTACTAAGCAATGAGGTCTGTTTTCACATTGGATGGTAATTATGATACAAGAAATAGCATTGGCATCCTTAGGTTAGGGAGGGGGAATTGGCTATGTTTCTCCATTCCTGTTTTCTCATTTGTTTGGACTTCGAGGTCTCTGAACACTTCCTAGTTCTCACAGGAAGAATGATCAATGGACAAGGTGATAAATGGCTTCCACTGTTAATGAAACTAATCCTCAGCTTATATCTGCCTTTTTGGGAAAGGAGAGGTGAAGAGGAGAGATTGGAGCAGAAGAAGAAATGTAGTCTCTGCTAGCTATCTCTTGCTTAAAGTTTCCATGACACAATATTTAAGCTTCTGTTGCCCTTGAATAAATGCCAAGCTCTATTGAATTGGTTTTCTCTTTCAGACTGCAGTAGAAATCTTCAAAATGATAATCCAAGAAATTGAAAAGGCAGATGGATACACACAAGACAAGAAGTGCCACATGATGTAATGATACACGTGTGAGCATGGCACTCTTATCCATGATGGTGAAGAAAGGAGGAGGCACTTCAGTTTGCATTCAATTCAAACCAAACTGCTTTGTAAATGGTTGCTGGTAGCGGAACGGACGGCACTGAAGTCTACTCTTTCTGCACTAATCAGCTCAAATCAGTTTGATTTGCTTAATCACTGGTTTACGACGGTTGTTTTGTATTGGTCATTTCTGCCATTCTGTGCAGTTTATGTTTTGCTAGTTCTTATCTAGGCTAGTACAGTGCCTCTGGAATTTTCAAATGTTTCACATAAAAATGGACTTGGAATTATAAGGAAGGAACCTCCCAATGTTACATTTTGAAGGTTTATATTAAGCCATTTTTAAGGAAGAAATGCACTTCACATTCAAGAACTATCTATAATCTAGAGTCAACAACACTTGGTAATCTGTCACAGCCTTTTTTAATTGGATAAAGGTTATTTACACTGAGTGATGGGGAATAGTACAGCCTTGAAAGGGAAGGATTCTTTTTCTCTCATGATAGATTTTGAAATGTTTATCTAAGATTGGATAGATTTCAGCAGAGCTATCATCAATTCACAAGGTCTAGTTCACACAGTAAGAAAAGGACTGCACAAGTTTTGAATATTTACAGCTGACGAGGAAAGCACATTGACCTTGTAGTCAAGCGTCACGTTACTGCTAACATCAAAAAACTTTTAAGAAAATTAACCAAATGATGCAAATGAGTGGCAAGTTTGACTCCTGGAATTCTTGCTTATATAGTTTGTAAGAACGCTGAGGGGAATTTATTTTGACTATCTAGGTTTATAATATAGGGAATTTTTGTTATAAGGGTGGCTGATATAACAGATGTGTAGTTCTGTGATTTTTGCTTCAGAAATAAATGCTGAGGGTCCTTCTTGGGTAAGGTAACCGCAAGCACAAGATGGGATTTCCTCAGTGGGCGTTTTACTGCAGGGCTGTAGAAATCCACACCATCTGTGACCTAGTATTGCACTTTGGATTACATTCTTCTACAGGGAATGAAATATGTGGTGGGCTGTCCATTTCATATCTGAGCAGTTTGAATTTGTTTTTCAGATGTTAGGAATGACTGACCTAGTTTCTCTCCTGGTACCTTACAGGAACAAAACTGCCACCTGGTAGCAAGTAGCTTTGGGGGATATTGTCCTATAGCTTGATGTTTCATTTGGAGACTGATTTGCAATTTGCTACTTGCCTACTCAAATAAGTGGGAATATTTCAGTAAAAATGCTATTTAGTGCCTCAGAAACCATTTATGCAATTCCACTTTTCGTCAAGCTTGCACATCACATTCATTATTAAAACCAACAAATGCAGATAAAGATGGAAATGTGTATGCTAGGCGATTGAATGTTTAATCCAGTCTTGATTCTATAAGAAGTGTATCTTAGCATTTTCAACTCTGAAATTAACGTGCAACTGTGCCTCGGAAGTGGCAGAGTTCATTGAATACTCATTTCTATGGAGGCAATCAGAGGATTGAGTTACAACAACAACTTGCACTTGTATAGTGCTCTCCAGGCAGGGTAACGTCTCAGAGCATTTAACAGTGGCAGTGCCTGACTCCGAGCCGGGGGGGGGGGGGGGGGATTGCAGTAAGCACGGTCGAACAGGAAAGTTTTCAGGCTGGACTTGAGAGAGGGGGCAAGGTGGAGGGATTGAAGGAGAGTATTCCAGAATTTTGGGGCGTAGTGGCTGAAAGCACGACCTTTGATGGTGGGGCGGAGGGTGCGAGGGACGAGCAAGAAGCTGGTCTAGTCGAGCGGAGGTGCCGTGTGGTAGAGTGAGGAGAGGTAGGGAGGTGCCAGGGAATGAATGGATTTGAACACGAGAGTGAGAAGTCGATCCATTCGGTGATGGGGAGCCAGTGGAGCCTGGCCAGAATGGTGAGATGTGGGTACGGAGTTTGGTCCGGGTCAGTATACAGGCAGCAGAGTTTTGAATGAGCTGGATGTCGTGAATGGTGAAGCTGGGGAAACCGGCGAGAAGTGCGTTGGGAGTAATCCAAGCGGGAGGTGACAAACGCACGCACGAGGGTTTCGTCTGCATTTGGGGTAAGGTACAGTCGGAGGCGGGCAATGTGGTGTAGGTGGAAGAAAGTGGAGTTGAGTGCTTAATGTGGAATTGAGTCTTCCATGTTCAGCTGACTGATTTTGGTGGGGACATTCATCCCACAAGCCACCTCATGTACCCTTCCTGCTGAAGTAGGCTTGTCAAAGCTACTATTTCTGAGTTAAACAAGAGTGGCACTAGGACTCGAACCGTATTGGTGATTGTGACTGGATTATGTACTGAGTGGATAGATCAGTTACCGCACATTTTATTTAAGACTGCGTTTGTTCTAACATCTAGCGCACAGAACATTCGGACTTAAAACAAATAGCTGTGAGCCGGTGCATCGGCCGTGCAGGGACAATTTCAAGACTATAAAACTAGAATTTCTGTTACAAGAATTTACCAGTTAACTTTTTNGTGCAGAGTGCTAGGGCAGGTTTTAACTAGTCTAATTTCGAAATGTTTTTACGAACAATTGATGCATTTAATAACAATAGGTGCATTTAAAGTTTTGCGCATCTTAAGTGCCTGTTACATGCATGTATCTGATTTCACCACTGGGTGTGACAAGTGGAACTGTGCTTTACCCGGATACCTGGAACAATTTGCTTCCTCTTTCTGAAATGACATTAGCAACCTTATGATCGGGTCTCACTTCTTTCGAGTTTGACTTTCCAGTGGTAACTTGCTGCAAGACAAATACTATCGGAAACGTTCAGATTTCTGTTATTGCCATGTGCTGACTCGCGGAAAGTACCAAAAAAACATTTCCCCCGAAATTTGAGTAACGTCTCCCAAGTTAAGGTAGGTTAACACTAAGGTGGGTTAACACTGAGTTCTAATGCGCATGCTTTAGTACTGTGCATTTTTTTTGATTGCACTAGTGTATGATTAAGGGATCCTTGCATTCCTTTCTCTTTCAACGTAGTGTCAGAGTGCAGAAGCTTTGAAGTAATATTCATGTTTTTCTGTTAAAACATCTATTCTGTGATTTACCCAGTGAAATCTTGTGTCAATAGGGTAGAGTGAATAACTAATTTATTTTCATAAATTTTGTGCCCATATTTTATCCTTGTAGATTAATCCACCAAAAATTGTGCCTTAAAATAGTTTCCTTTGCTCAAGCTGAACTTATAACCTCCAAAGATTTCATTGGATCTTCAATGATGTTATTTATTTCTCTTCACTCTGTTGCGATGCTTATCTGTAATTTGTGCTTTCCTGATTGTCTTGTCTAAATCGTAAGCATTCGTATATTTGGTTCCCATCCCACAGTTGACTGTATTTTGCTAAATTTTGAGTGAAAACAGTGTGTGATAAATATTATGGTAAACTGATTGTAGAAATCACTTTGGGTTTATTAAAAATATAGATATATATAAAATTGTCATATGACCAGATGGCATCAGTGCTTTCACCGGTGATGTAATGGGAACATGGAGAAGATGCCTTGTTTCCCAAATCCCATTGGATGAGGCACTCTTCTGAAATGTGCATTGATTTGTAGTACTTCAGTTTAAAGACATGGGCAAAAAAAAAAATCACATTTTCTACACTTTTGTCTATTCCGATTGTCCAGCTCCTTGGGATGGCCGCCCGACGTTAAAAGGCACTTATACAAATGTAATTTTGTGGTTCCTCTGGTTCTATCCTGGTACAAATCTTTCCTCATCCAACATCTACAATCCAGAGTG